AACATCGTAATTATGATCAAACTACATCAAATATTGATAATATTTTAAATTGGACTATTTACAGCCAACCGGTGTTGTGGTCCATTCTACTTCGCAATATGCACTTTACGGTTTAGGGTATACGAAGCGTAGATAGTTTAGACCTTTCATAATTAATGTATTTAGTTGTTCAGTTATTTACTATCGTAGCGCACGGCTTCCTGGAAGAGCACTTTTTAGTGGAGAGAATTCCGTGGATAAATAAAGTTGTTTTTGTCGTTTTGTAGACGCTTATACGTTTCTTGGTTTGGCTTCATAATAAAAACTTGTTGGTCTTATAGACATAAGTAATCCTGTAAGTTTCACGCTTTCATCGATCGAAGCGAAGTTTTGTAGACGAAGCACATGCGGAGCGATCATAGCGATCGCACCGACAACTATCGCTGAAATAGAAAACGTTCTATCTCAGCGATCGCTCAAAGTGGTTTCCATATGACTGCTATGATGGCTGCGATCGCTGAACCTTTTTTTCTCAGCGATCGTAGCGATTATATGGAAACCAGGCTTTAGTATAAATCGCAGATAATGTTAACATACATGCAAATCGGTTCGTGTTCTTCACTGATCCCCATATTCTTGTTACGTTGTCTGACAGTAGTTAGCAGGAAATTGCTAATTGAGGACATAAATTTCACGTGTCCAACTGGAGGTAGGACCGCAATTTTTACGTGGTCATTTGATCTACGAGAAGGTTTAGCCGTTTGCAGGGTAAAGGCAGTACCCTCATTTCTCTGTTGTTTTAAGACTTCGAGGTTTGGTCCATTCTAGAAGATCAACCTCTTTGACTTTTCGCCCTGTTTTGTTGAGCGCTTTGTCCGCAACTGAAACAATCCTTCAATCAGTCAACAACCAATTGAAACAAACCCTTTGCTTCATACACATACTATTGGATCGAACCCGCGGGAAAAGCGCAGGAGGTTACGGGCTCGAACTCCGGCCGGATCAACACTCGGGGTCTGTCTTGAGATTACCGAGTAGAAAATTCTGCCATTGTTCGGACATTTAAAATGGTTAGACGTTCTAGTCTTATCGGATAAGGACGAAAAACCGTAGGCCCCGTCTCACAGTTCTTTCACTGTTCTGATTCTTGTGGGACGTAAAAAAACCCACACTGCTGTTCTTTAAGAGTAGGCGGAAACAATGACTTTGCATTGGCCCATTTCAAGGTTTCTTGAGTAACGTGAAATAATGGGGGCCGTGCTTTTACAGAAATCTTACGGGTCACGGAAAACTTGGAAGAGCATAAAAATTGTTGACTTTCATTTTCCAGGCATCTAATTCAGTAGGGACCTTTAGCATCAGGTTTTTCGTGGGAAACGGCAAACCGCAAACCGCAAAATGTTACGTGACCACGGCCTTGCGGTCACGTTTGCAGTTTGCAGTTCACGTTTGAGCCGCAGAAAGGGCTTCCAGCGGTAAGTGATTTACGGCAAGGTTTTTTGCCACAAAGAATTGTACAGCCTCGCGTTTAAAGGTATGAACTAGCTTTTTGTATCCGTTTGCGATGTGTTTGTTGGATTTCTGATCTCGAATCAATGAATTATTGCTGATTTTAGGGCGATTAAAGTGATGCACTTCGACTTGATGAAAACAACATGGCGGCCCTAAACAATGAACGCGTAGTTCAAATCGATTTTATATTCCTTTCTGCCGTACTAACAATGGAAAGTATTCTGTTCCAATCCACAGTTAAATTTTTTTTTCTATCTTGTTACTGAATTCATAAGTTAACTCAGTCTCTGTTTGGAACTTCCTATTTTTAACGTATCACTCCGCGAATATCATTTTATTTTGCTTGTTTCTTTTAGACTGGGGAGCTCAGGCTTCATAAAGCCTTCTGGTTTCTTCTGGGCTCCCTTGCAACCTTACAATTTATATATGTATTCTTGTATTGTATTGTATTTTGGCTAAATAAAAGTGAANAATTGTACAGCCTCGCGTTTAAAGGTATGAACTAGCTTTTTGTATCCGTTTGCGATGTGTTTGTTGGATTTCTGATCTCGAATCAATGAATTATTGCTGATTTTAGGGCGATTAAAGTGATGCACTTCGACTTGATGAAAACAACATGGCGGCCCTAAACAATGAACGCGTAGTTCAAATCGATTTTATATTCCTTTCTGCCGTACTAACAATGGAAAGTATTCTGTTCCAATCCACAGTTAAATTTTTTTTTCTATCTTGTTACTGAATTCATAAGTTAACTCAGTCTCTGTTTGGAACTTCCTATTTTTAACGTATCACTCCGCGAATATCATTTTATTTTGCTTGTTTCTTTTAGACTGGGGAGCTCAGGCTTCATAAAGCCTTCTGGTTTCTTCTGGGCTCCCTTGCAACCTTACAATTTATATATGTATTCTTGTATTGTATTGTATTTTGGCTAAATAAAAGTGAACTGAACTGAACTGAACTGAACGCCTTGCTAAAGTTTGAAATCTCCGCAACGCGAAACTGCAAACGCGTAACTGCGGTTTGCGGTTCGCGTTTTGCGGTTTACCTGATGCTAAAGGTCTCTAATGTCGGTTAAAGAAATTGTCAAAGCAAGGACAAAGCAAGATAGGGACACTAACGGCGCGCAATTTTTTTTGGTGTACTGAGTTAAACCCTGCTGAAATTTGCTGGTTTGTTCGGTAGAAACAACGCACTCAATATTCTTTAGATTTTGATTTAGATATTTGATTGCGGGCCCGAAAAGTTATCAGGAGATAACAGCCCGTTTCGAGAAACGGGCCACAAGGTACCAGAGGTTTCTTTCCTCGTGCTGCGGGATGCTTACCCGCTATACGCCCTGGTCGCTATGCAGACTTGACCGCAGCCGAAGCCAGAGACCACACATGAAAAGTTTCTGATACCCAGGATAATTCACTCGTGATAATTAACAAATTAAAACAGTCCTAGCAGTATGCAGGATGTTTGTCACATGAACCTAGTTTAGTGGCCTTAGCTCCCACAAGACTTCTGTAGCTTCTGCAACTGGAGCCAGAAGGCCATAGGTTCTACTTCTGTAGAATAGTCGGAGTTTTTCTTCTGAGCCACTTGCGACACTGACTGAAAAAAAAAAAAAAAACTTTCTCGATAACAACTACCCTGCAAGCAAAGTCGCTGCGATCTTTCACTTATCTAGGAAAGCTCTGCTAGGAGGGTAAGTAACAACTGACTAAAACAGTTTACTAGAAAGAAAACCGTAACTGAAACCAATTTGAGATTTAAAATAAGCCCCTTGTAGGTGACATAATAAGTTGCGACAATTAATTGGGGAAGAAAGGCGGACAGGTGTTTATTTAAAACATTTTCATCAATTACTGAAACAGCTTACAGGAATATAACTGCAAATGAAGCATTTTGAGATTTCAAAAGAAATTTGAAGATGACTTTATTAGTTGTGTCAAACAAAACAACTGGGTAAAAAAGAGCTGACAGGTGTTTTTAACTAATGGAAAAAATCCACATTAGATATCATATCACCATTAATTGACTGAGTGGGCTTCACTACAACCGGTACTGACACGGTAATTTACGGCGGCACAGGTGATATCGGCGCAGACTACAACTTAATGCCCACCATATCATGTTAGTAACTCCCACAAAAGCCAGTATAGACCTACAGATTTTACTCCAAACTTGTCCCTGGTGACATTTTGGATGCCTTAATGCAGGGTTTTCATTGAAACTTGAACTGATATTTTTAATGTTACGGAGAAACAAGATTTTTATTGACAATCGAACACAAAGGGCCGTTAGGTTCATTTGAGACTGCCAGTTAACACGCTGGGTATTCAAAAGTAATCTGCACGAGACCGCAGGGTGTAACATCTTAATTCAATCCTTTATTTCCCGTTTTCATGCACTAAAACACTCTTATGTCTATATTGGTTGAAGACTGGACTACGGCTGCAAAGTGATTAATTATTAAGCATCAACGAAGAGAAAAAAACTCTTCTGCAAATGAAGTTGACTTGAATTTTTGCTGATCTGGACAAAATGGACGGTACACCTCGCCTTGAAGCAATTGTCATCGTAAACTGTGCTTTAAATGTTCTGCTAATCATTGCATCCATCACTGGAAACACGTTGGTATTGTTCATCATATTGAAGACTCCTTCGCATCGCTTAGAGCCTTCCTTTATCTTTCTTTGCAGTCTTGCTCTTTCTGATCTTTTCGTAGGGTTTATCGCCCAACCTTTTTACATTGCAAGTGAATTCACGAGGAAGGAGACTATCTTGTATCATTTGAGTCATGTTGCAGCGTTTTTCGCTTGTGGTGTGTCTCTCTGCACCACGGCAGCCGTGAGTATGGACCGTTTAGCAGCTCTTCATTTTCATATGAGATACTCTAGCTTAGTGACAGTTCCTCGTGTTTTGTGTACTTTGGTGATGTTATGGGTGATAAATGTTCTTTGTTCAAGCATTTACTTTGCTCTTCACACACTCCAGCTTCTATTTTCTTGCATGAGTCTCCTGGCTCCTTGCCCCATACTCTACAGTTTGTAGATCTGTCTACCCTCCTCCCCTGGGTGATAGATTAAGGATTGTGTGGTTCCAGAAAATATCCACCTACCCCATGCACGCAGTCAGTGGAAATTCTGATATCATTGGGAGGGGGTCAAGCTAAACTGGGTTTTTTAGGGGCTGTGGGAAGTGGGCAGGGGTTCAAACCAAAAAGACCCTCATGTTGAGCTAAACAAAAAAATCTCAGTTCATAAACATATATTTTTTGGCTGCTAATGCAATAAACATGTTACATGTGAACAATAACTGCACAGATATTTTGGAAAAGATGTTTTTAGAGACTTGTTTTCCGGTTGTAGGTGTTACAAAGGAAGTGGTATTAATGTGAGAAAAAATGTTGGCTTGTATATGCTCTGGCCATTAGTTTTTTGGCACAGATTTTGCTATCTGAGTCTAATTATCAGTTGTGAAATTAGAAAAGTTCAGCTCATCTTATAGTGTTCCATCTTCTTTTGAAACAGGGAGGTGTTGAGCACGCTCATGCATTTGTTTACAGCCCAGAAGTGATAAGATTCTGCTCTGTCACTCATGCTAGAGGAGGTTTGTGTTATTTTATTCTGAAAATCTTATTTCAGACCTTAACCCATTCGCTCCTGGAGATTTTGCCGAAAAACACGTTTTGAAGCTAGTCGAGTGGCTAAAACTTACCACAAACCGGTTTACAGGTCGTACATTTCGCGGCCTTCTGATCCAGATGCAAAATATCAGCTTGCGAAGTTCGGGCATGCGCAGAAAGCAAAATTTCGAGATTTTGGGTTTAAAAGTGACACAGCAGTCTTGACTTTTACTTTTCGCTTTTCTTGCCTCATTTTTTTTTCTCTTGCTGGGCATTTAGTAGGCTTCGTTTTGGTGGGAAGAGTTTTTAGGAAAGCTTTTAGGATCGTAGGATTAGGTGAAAGGAAAGGTAGGTGAGTAACGGAACAAGATTTTCATGGAGATTTTCAGGTCAATGTCACATGGTTTTTTGCTTCTTTCTCCGGTGTGCTTGACTGAATTGTGCTCATTTGGGTATGGTTTGAAAGATCTCTTCATACTGCACAAGTCAGCGGACAAAGTTGTCTTTGACCCTTAAAACTGATGACGTCACAAAGGGTAGAAAGGACGTGTGGATCTGCAAGGGCAGTTACGGGCGGTTCAGGGGCGAATGGGTTAATTAATTAAATTCTTGAGTTTAATTTCTTCATATATTGCAAGACATAAAAATGTTATTGATAGTTAGTTTATGCTCTAATTTGAGAGCAGTGCTGATGTTCATTTTCCTCTTTTGGAATAGATAAAGGAAAAACCTTTTGTTGGTTGAGAATTGTTCACTACACTTGAACTTCTCCACAATGGCCACCTTGGGGACAGAACAAAGTGGCTGTTCAGTGGTGGATCCAGGGGAGGGCCCCCCTCCCTTATTTCTAGACCAAACGGGGCCATAAAAATTTGTTTGGGAGACCGCCCCCCCCTTATCTCAAGGTCTGGATGCACGATTGCTGTTGTAGAGAGGTTTAAACAAGAGTCAATGTATAAACTCTCCTCTGGGACCACAAAAAGAAGACATTGTAGAGATTTAGAGGTGGCCGTTTGTGGGGGTTGGACTGTTACTTTAAATGATGCCTTTTGAATGAAGCCAGCAATGTCACAAATTCAATTATATTAACTGGTGATTACCTTGAAAATAAAATGAATACTTCTGACCTTTTTGCATAGAAAAACCAAAGCTGTCTGGTGGTCTCAAAGAAATGAGGATTCTCAAGACAACTCAATCAGGATTCACTGGTAATTGCTTTGTTATGTAAAAGAAATAAAATATGCACTGTTTTGCAGCAGCTATTAATCTTTCATGATAAATTACAATAACCTTGTTTCAATCCTGCAGGATTTTGTAAAGACAAATACACTATTTTGCCAGAATCAACTGACCGCACATTTTGTACCAAAGTATACTGCCGCTACCAGTTTGATGCCATGAAAGGTGTTAATTTTGATAACTGCTGGTAAGTAATATTGAGTGTTAAAAATATATGTTTACACTACAGAAAAATTTGGTCCACACCAGTCAAACAATAATTAGTGGTAAGGTAGTGGTAACTTGAAAAAAAAAATTATTTGAAAGTTGGATTTTCCACAGGACCATACATGTGAGTCCCTGTAGCCTTGTGGAAACTCCATTATTTCTTTAAAATTAGCGCTGCTGTACCACTTTTTTTGACTGGTCCGGACCAAATTTTTCGTTGTAAATGTGCTTCATATATCTGAATTTCTTTTATGGGTCAATGATGGCCGTGCCTGTTGGGCAATGTGTATACTGTAAAATTCCGAAAATAAGCCCTGGGGCTTATATTTTTCAAAGGTCTTTTTAAGGGGCTTATTTTTGGAGGGGCTTATATTCGGAGGGGCTTATCTATTGAAGAAAATTTGCATCTCAAAATCGATTGGGCTAGCCTTATAGTTGGACATAAATTTACCGTTGTTTTACTTTGTATTTGAGGGCAATTTTCCAATTATTTCAAGCCCCCAGGGGACTTATATTTGGAGGGGCGATTTAACGCAGGTTTTTTTTACATTACCGGTTTGGGGGGCTTATATTTGGAGCCTGGGGTTATACATGGAGGGGCTTTTTTTGGAATTTTACGGTAGTTGTCATCATTGACATGTTATTAGGCCCTTTCTTGGTGTGGTAATGTATGTCTTACATGTAAATTTTTTGGTTTAATGGTTTGTGTCCCTGTTGGTATCTTACCATGTTACCACATGTAAACTACTAAAATCAATGTATTTGCAGTTGTCTTCTTTGTTGTTACAGTTTCCATCCCACTTCATGTCATTGTCATCACTTCACCTGCCTTTCATTGCTGTTTCAAGGCTATAATTGTCACTTGTCAAAACAAACCCTTACTGGAGGGCTTTTATCAGCTAATCCTGATTTTGAACATATTTTGAATAGAACTGTTGCTCAGAGGTTAATACTTGTAGACTGGGGGATAAAAAAGTGCTACTGACTCAAAGCAGGCGCTTGATAGGTTAGAGAAAAATGTGGGTAACTAACTTTTGTTAGGTTGCAAAATCTTGGGATTTTTTAACATTGTTTTCTAGAAAAATGGATTTCTCTTTTCTTCCTGAATATCCATTCTATAACAATGTTTCCTTAATCCTGCGGAGTAAAATAATTAATAAATCCTGTACCCCTTTCTTATCCAATTCCATTCTCACTCTCCTTCCCTTTTAAACCCTGAATCCTGAAAAACCTTTTTGAGGACAAAAAGTTTTGAAGTAGATGGATTAATTGTCAAAGTAAGTGGCCAGTCCAGGGATATTTTATTTAAAAAACGCCATCAGTAAAGATATGCCAAGCAGATTAAGCCGGTCGATACTAACCAAGTAGATGGCGATTTTCGCCGGCAGCCAGCTACTTTTGGCAACCCTGGGGAACCTCTAAATAGGCCTCTGTTTTGATTCCAAAGGAATTTTGTCAAGAGCACCATCCTGAAAGAGTTTGCTGGGCCACCTCATACTGGTGTCTATTCACCCTCAGTTCAGGCGAGTCTTCCTAGTTTGTTGAATAGAGACTAGTCTGCTTTTAAACAAATTCTCCCCAGTGGTACAATGAGAAACATGTGGACAACAGTGTAGAGAATATGCTTGTTGATGTAGAGGTTAAAGGGGGTTAAAGATAAGTTTATGTTCTCAGTTCTGTTTTACACCAAACAAGGTTACCCCATTGCACACTCCACATTTACTCAGCAGTTCATGTTATCTTTTACTTACTAAAAAAAGTTAAAGGTTTGTTGATGGTGGAAAGTGAACTTAGCTTATCTAGCTAATTTACAGGCGCTCCACTCAAATAATAATTATTAGAAGCAAATAATCCAAAAAGAACATAACAGGAGGATTAAAAACCCCAACTAGTAGGAAGCAACCAGTTGACTATTTACATGTGTGGCAGAGGACTGGAACTCAGGAGAACCGAGAACAAATCCAGCTAGCAGTCAGGGCGGGACTTGAACCCATGACTGCTAGATTGCAAGTGCAATGTGCTGACCACTCAGCCTCGTTACCTTCAACAGTAAATCTGTTCCCTATTGTGTTTCAAGACCTACCATAAATCTATAACCCTGGACAAAACCTGTTGAAACACATCACTAAAATACCTATTTTTCCTGTCATCCTGGAAAAAAATTAATGGAAACCATCACCAAATGAGTGCCCGTTTTCCCACCTCCCCTTATCCAATCTTGTTTGAGACTTATACACGTTGGTTTTTAGACCAAAGAAAGTTTGAATAAGGGGCAGGGAGGGGTTTTGCTTTTTCTGTCTAGAAGAGATGGTGATATATTGCAAACATTAGTATTTAAAAAATAGGTGGAACTGTCTTATCAGCTTTGTACTGTAGTTCCACTATGAAAGGTCACCGTTTCATCAGTAGACCTCATAGTGGAGATCATGTAGCCTAGCCCTTTAGTGGGTAAGTTTTTGAATGAAGTACAATCATATGATCAGTCAAATGATTGCTCTTCAGCAGGAAAGAGTCAATGTAATTCACACACTTTTTTTGGTGAATGTTTGAGGTTATCTGCAGGCATGAAGGTTATACTATACCCTGTAACTAGGCAATCTTACTGTTTCTTTTATATTTCTGTTAACAGAACACTTTGTACTTGGCAGAGCAGAAGATTTTAAACAGCATTCCGCAGGTTGGTTACAACTTTTGATTGGCTGTACTAGTTTGTCCATGCAAGCAATTAAAGGGAGGGCTTAAAAACGAGCTATAATTCCCTGCGTTAATTTTTTTTAATAAGCTACAAGTACGTCTAATGGACCTCAACAACTCCCAACAGCCCAGCAATGTTGGGAGTTGTTGCATCTGTGTTAGCAGTGGTGTGCAAACGAATGCAACAACTCCCAACAATGTTGAACACGCATTGCTTTTTGGTAAGGATACAACCCATAAGACTTTGTAAACTCAAAGGAGACCACGTGTAATACTCGTGCATGGCCCCAGCAATGTTGGAGAAGCTGTGCAAATGGATCCAACATTGTTGTGCTACGCCTCGGTGATCACGGAACAAAAGGAATGTTGGGAGTTGTTGACTCAAAAGTATGCTGTTTTCAAACTTTTTGCAACAACTCCGAACAACATGCCACAACGTACAAGAGGGTATGCAATCGGATTCAGGGGACGTACTCAAGTTGCAATGTGAGAGCACTTGTTTTGTTGACTTTCATGGGCAATGTAAACAAATGACAACATCTTAAAATCTGCTTGTTAAAATATGACAAAATTTGGCAGAAATCCTGTTCATATCAAACTTCCGTCAATGAAGGCCTTAAAACAAAAAGACAAAAGTTTTGTGGCATATTCAAATTTCTCATGAAAGCTATTTTGTCAAAAATTTCAAAAACTGTTTCTAAAAAAGTACGTTTTTTTTCCTGTCACTTTTTAAAAAAAATGAGGGTGACTAATAGTAAGCGGAGTGCTAATTCACCAGGAAATTTTAAGACTGGACTTTACATAAACCTACTAAATTCAAGATTTTAGGCATTTTTTAATCGTCCATGTTGCCATGGCAACGATCGATATCTTACGTTCAACCTAATGATGTCGCTTAAATATATTTTGTCCGTGCCAAATGTGAGCTTTATACCTGGGACAAGTCTTAAATAACATCCCAATGAATCGTAACGACCCACAACCTATCAAACTGTGTTCAGCCACCTTAACAGCTTTTCTTGACTAGGGAAGATGCTGGCTGAATAGACTACTGGCCTAAAGAACTCAGTATTTTAGCATAGGCCGGGAAATTCCACTGTCATTTGATGATAGCCCTGATGCCATGATCAGTGACATTCTGAGCTTACACTGCCGCCTGGTTGGCTCAGTTGGAAGAGCGCTGGTCTGCCGAGCGGGAGTTCGCGGGTTCAAACCCCAGCCGGACCAACACTCATGGTCTTTAAATAACTGAGGAGAAAGTGCTGCCTTTGTAATGACATCTGCAAATGGTTAGACTTTCTAGTCTTCTCGGATAAGGACGAAAAACCGTACACAGCACTTTCCCTGCTTTGTTCTTGTGGGACGTAAAAGAACCCACACCACCCATTCGAAAAGAGTAGGGGCCGTAGACTCTGGTGGTGTGGCCAACCTTTACGGGTTGTGGGATTGAGTAGGGATGGCACCTCGCATGGGACCTGAGTCCCGTTCGTGCACATTTCCTCTGGGCTGGCCTGTGTCCAGAAAAGCTGGTAAATAAATAAATAAATAAATAAACATTATAACCATAATTATGTATGCAGTTTGGTGGACATTCTCTTTGGTTAAGATGGCCTCTAGTGCTGACTGAGCGATAATCATTGTGTGACTGCGATACTTAACAGTATCAATAACATTTCTGATCTTGATGGGGTGTCGATTGACTCGTATTTTGGCACAGAGCTCTGACTTTGTTATTTTGCTTTCGTGTTTCGTTGCAGATTAGTTATATAGAGATGGCAATGCCTAACATTCATTATTTTACTGTTAATATGGCACCATTTGGATTGACCAACAAAGATGAGGTATATAACAGCTTTAACAGTTGGTTAATAGCTAGAGAATCTTGTGTGGGAAAACAAAACTATTTTCATGGGGAATACATCACTTGACAGTAAGGCCTCGTTCCTAAAACTTCATTCATTTTCATGCAATATTGACATGATAGCTGGGGCATCCTCAGGTACTGTGCATTGGTACACGAAACAACTTCTAATACCCACGTGGGGTGTAGTGACTCAACAGGCGTTATTTGAGGGGCTGAGGCGGGTTTTTGGGCGCGAACACGAGACACGCGGGAGCATTTTCGCTTTTCCCTGCTAACGCATGTCTCGAACTTCACACTCGCGCCTCCGAATTCGCCTCACAGCCCTGATAGGGACCTCACGAAACCACGATGAGAGCGACAGAAAAGGAAAAGGTTTAGGACTTGTTTACATGGAAATGGATGCCCGCTCAGGTGGAGTAGCGGCCTGTCTATATAATCCCCCCTTTTAATTTGATCACGTGACGTTTACATAACGGGTGGGATGACACGCCGAGGCGGGTAGCCCGGTCTGCTAGACCGGGTACTTCTCTTAGTCAGGGTCAAATTTTGCCATGTAAACGTTTCAAGGTGGGGTAACCAGCCTAGCCGGGCTAGGGTTACACCAAATTCGCGCCTTGAATCTGAATTCGGATCTGACAAACTGAAGTTCCCTTTCTGTGTAGATTTTGATGCCCACTGACAAGCCGGCAGGAATTATAAAAGCTGCTCTTTCAAGAAATCCCAAGGCAAAACTGTAAACTTGACCGAGGACAGCTCAAGTTACCTCTGCGAGGAGAAAGTGTGGTTGCAATGATTTCTGCCTGAGTGCAGGCCCACTTGTGCGATTTCGCAGAAAGTTTTGGCGGCGGAGCAGCCATCGCGCGAGGACCTCGCGCAAGTGACCCTACCTACTCACAAGCTGCATTTATCTGAACAAAAGAAAAGATTCAAGGTCAAAGGAAACACTGTCGTGACTCACTATAAGACCTCGATGTTAGGATAAGAAAATAAATAAAGTGCAGTTAAAGAACATCGTAATTATGATCAAACTACATCAAATATTGATAATATTTTAAATTGGACTATTTACAGCCAACCGGTGTTGTGGCCCTTCTTCTTCGCAATATGCACTTTACGGTTTAGGGTATACGAAGCGTAGATAGTTTAGACCTTTTAGAATTAATGTATTTAGTTGTTCAATTATTTACTGTTGTAGCGCACGGCTTCATGGGAGAGCACTGTTTAGTGGAGAGAACTCCGTGGATAAATAAAGTTGTTTTTGCTGTTGTTGGTTTTGTTGTTTCGTAGACGCCTTTGCGTTTCTTGACTTCATAACAAAAAAATGTTGGTCTTATAGACATAAGTAATCCTGTAAGTTTCACGCTTTTATCGATCGAAGCGAACTTTTGTAGACTAAGCACATGGTAGAACGTTGTTCACTTAAGCCTGGTTTCCATATGATCGCTACAATCGCTGCGATCGCTGAGAAAAAAAATTTCAGCGATCGGAGCGATCATAGTGATCATATGGAAACCACTTTCTAGCGACCGCAGCGATAACGATCGTTGAAATAGAAAAATTTCTATCTCAGCGATCGCTGCAAAGTGGTTTCCATATGACTGCTATGATCGCTGCGATCGCTGAACTTTTTTTCTCAGCGATCGTAGCGATTATATGGAAACCAGGCTTTAGTATAAATCGCAGATAATGTTAACATACCTGCAAATCGGTTCGTGTTGTTCACTGATCCCCATATTCTTGTTACGTTGTCTGACAGTAGTTAGCAGGAAATTACTAATTGAGGACATTAATTTCACGTGTCCAACTGGAGATAGGACCGTATTTTTTACGTGGTCATTTGATCCACGAGAAGGTTTAGCCGTTTGCAGGGTAAAGGCAGTACATAAACAAACACCTTCGACCCATCTCCCTGACACCAATCCTGTCAAAGAAAACGGAAGAGTACGTTGTCGACACTTATGTCAAGTCTGTTGTCCTCTCAAAGATCGACCCACAGCAATTGGGAACGGTACCCAAATCCTGCACCACGCTTGCATTAATCAGTATGATTCACTCTTGGGCGAAGTCAATGGATGGAAATGGATCGACTACGAGAGTTGTACTCTTTGACTTCCGGATTTGATTGACCATCATGTTCCAGCGCGGAAGCTCTCCTCCTATGATATTCCAAGGTCGATTTCGTGCTGGATCATAGACTTTTTAGTGGACCGTAAGCAAAGGATAAAACTGAGCCGCGATTGCTTCTCGGAGTGGGAAGCTGTTCCTGCAGGGGTCCCACAGGGGGCGAAACTGGGCCCCTGGCTGTTCCTTATCATGATAAATGATCTTTCTGTAGCAGACACAACTTTTTTGGAAATACGTCGATGACACCACTCTTGTCGAATCAGTGTCGAAGAACGAGACTAGCTACATGCAGTTACGCGTAGATGAACTTGTACGACAGTCGGAAGCTGATGGTTTCCAACTCAACGAGTCTAAATGTAAAGAACTGAGAATATCATTCTCTAGATCAGGAAGTTCTGTAGATCATATCACTATCAATGATAAGCAAATCGAAGTTGTCTCGTCCGCAAAGCTGTTAGGAGTGGTAGTTTCGGACAACCTCAGGTGGAACGCGCATGTAGAATCTATATGCAAAAAGGCTGCGACGCGCCTGTACTTCCTAAAACAGCTGAAGCGTACNGAAGAACGAGACTAGCTACATGCAGTTACGCGTAGATGAACTTGTACGACAGTCGGAAGCTGATGGTTTCCAACTCAACGAGTCTAAATGTAAAGAACTGAGAATATCATTCTCTAGATCAGGAAGTTCTGTAGATCATATCACTATCAATGATAAGCAAATCGAAGTTGTCTCGTCCGCAAAGCTGTTAGGAGTGGTAGTTTCGGACAACCTCAGGTGGAACGCGCATGTAGAATCTATATGCAAAAAGGCTGCGACGCGCCTGTACTTCCTAAAACAGCTGAAGCGTACTAAAGTTCCACCCAAGGATATGCTACTTTTTTATACAACATGTATACGCCCTGTATTAGAATACACGTGCCCAGTCTTTCATCATTCTTTGCTGCAATATCTGTCTAATGAAATGGAAAGGTTGCAAAAGCGCGCGTTGCGGATAATACAACCCGACTTATCCTATGCTGAGGCTTTAGGAGCTCTAGACATCACGTCACTGTACGAGGGAGGAAGGCCTTGAGTAATGCTCTATTTGACCAAATTGTAAGGGACCAAAGCCACAAGCTCCATGATCTGCTGCCGCCACGCAACGGGTCCACTTATTGCACCCGTAGCCAGAGATACTTCAAACTACCAATTTGTAAGACAAATAGGTTTAAAAACACTTTTATTATGGCGAACAGTTTTAATTATTAGTAGTAATCTTAATTATTAGTATTTTGGTGTTGATACTTCTCCTTTTGTATTTTATTGTAGGTTATATTTTACGGTTTTTATAGTAGTTATCATATATTTATAAATAATTTTTAGTTCCATTGTAAAGTAAGTCACATTTCAGCCGGCCCGGGGGCTGCAATGACTTTACTTCTTAATAAAGCTACCTATCTAGCTATCTATCTATCTACCCTCATTTCTCTGTTGTTTTAAGACTTCGAGGTTTGGTCCGTTCTAGGAGATCGACCCCTTGACTTTTCGCCGTGTTTTTTTAAGCGCTCTGTCAGCAACTGAAATAATCCTTCAATCAGTCAACAACCAAACAAACCGTCGCAGGGGGTCACGGGCTCGAACTTCGGCCGGTTCAAAACTCGAAGTAAGTCTTAAAATTACCGAGTACAATGTGCTGCCTTTGTTCGGACGTCTAAAATGGTTCGACGTTGTAGTCTTCTCCGATGAGGACGAAAAACCGTAGGCCCCGTCTCACAGTTCTTTCCCTGTTCTGATTCTTGTGGACGTAAAAAAACCCACACTGCTGTTCTTTAAGAGTAGGTGGAAAGGATGAATTTGCATTGGCCCATTTCAAGGTTTCTTGAGTAACGTGAAATAATGGGGGCCGTGCTTTTACAGAGCTCGTACGGGTCACGGAAAACTTGGAAGGGCATAAACATTTTTGACTTTCGTTTTCCAGGCATCTAATTCAGTGTTGGTTAAAGAAATTTCAGATGTCAAAGCAAGGACAAAGCAAGATAGGGACACTAACGGCGCGCATTATTTTTTGGTGCACTGAGTTAAACCTAGCTGAAATTTGCTGGTTTGTTCGCTAGAAACAACGCACTCAATATTCATCAGATTTTGATTTAGATATTTGATTGCAGGTCCGAAAAGTTATCAGGAGATAAATCCCGTTTCGAGAAACGGGCCCCAGGGTACCAGAGGTTTTTTCCCTCGTGCTGCGGAATGCCTACCCGCTATTCGCCCGGGTCACTATGCAGACTTGACCGCAGCCGGACACCACACATGAAAAGTTTCTAAAACGTATGTGTAATCAAATGGTGACGAGTGAAATTAGGGAATAATTTCACGCGCGTTTTGTCCAAATCCTTATAATTTCCCGACCCTTTAGGCGAGGGAAATTATTAGGATTTGGACAAAACACAAGTGAAATTATTCCCTAATTTCACGAGTATACCATTTGATTACCTATTATAATTCACTCGTGATGATTAACAAATTAAAACAGTCCTAGCAGTGTGTGCAGGATGTTTGTCACATGAACCTAGTTTAGTGGCCTTAGCTCCCACAAGACTTCTGTAGCTCAGTGGTAGAGCATTCAGAAGTTGGATGGCGCTAATCACTATCCAGCGAACAAGTATTAAGGAAACTAGTTGCACTATCCAGTGGATAGAGATTTATCCGGTGGATAGCGCTATCCAGCCTTTGAACAACCCAGGCCATAAATAGCTACCCAGCGGTTACGTACGACGAAAACCAATTCCGTTATCCACTGGATAGTGATTTATCCCGTGGATAGCGCTATCCACCCTTTGAACAACTGGAGCCAGAAGGCTATAGGTTCGACTTCTGTTGAATACTCGGCGTTTTTTTCCGAGCCACCTGCGTCGCTGACTGAAAAAAAAAAACGTTCTCGATAATAACTACCCTGCGAGCAGAGTCGCTCTGATCTTTCGACTTATCCATGAAAGCTCTGCTGGGAGCTCAAGTAATCATGAACTGATCAAGTCAGTTAGCGAGAAAGAAAACCGTAAATGAAGCCGATTTCGACAATTAAAATAAGCCCCTTGTAGGTGACATAATAAGTTGCGACAATTAATTGGGGAAGAAAAGTGGACAGGTGTTTATTTAAAACATTTTCATCAATTACTGAAACAGTTTAATATAACTGCAAATGAAGCATTTTGAGATTTCAAAAGAAATTTGAAGATGACTTTATTAGTTGTGTCAAACAAAACAATCGGGTAAAAAAGAGCTGACAGGTGTTTTTAACTAATGGAATAAATGTCCACATTTGATGTCATATCACCATTAATTGACTGAGTGGGCTTCACTACAACAAGTGATACAAGTGATATCAGCGCAGATTACAACTTAATGCCCACCATATCATGTTAGTAACTCCCTCAAAAGCCAGTACAGACCTACAGATTTTGTTCGAAACTTGTCCCTGGTGACATTTTGGATGCCAAAATGCAGGGTTTTCATTGAAACTTGAACTGATGTTTTTAATTTAACGGAGAAACAAGATTTTTATTGACAATCGAACACAAAGGACCGCTAGGTTGATTTGAGACTGCCAGTTAACACGCTGGGTATTCAAAAGTAATCTGCACGAGACCGCAGGGTATAACATCTTAATTCAATCCTTTATTTCCCGTTTTCATGCACTAAAACACTCTTATGTCTATATTGGTTGAAGACTGGACCACGGCTGCAAAGTCATGAAGCATCAACAAAGAGATAAACAACTCTTCTGCAAATGAAGTCGACTTAAATTTTCGCTGATCTGGACAAAATGGACGATACACCTCGCCTTGAAGCCATTGTCATCGTAAACTGTGCTTTAAATGTTCCGCTAATCATTGCATCCATCACTGGAAACACGTTGGTATTGTTCATCATATTGAAGACTCCTTCGCATCGCTTAGAGCCTTCCTTTATCTTTCTTTGCAGTCTTGCTCTTTCTGATCTGTTCGTAGGGTTTATTGCCCAACCTTTTTACATTGCAAGTGAATTCACGAGGCAGGAGACTATCTTGTATCATTTGAGTCATGTTGCAGCGTTTTTCGCTTGTGGTGTGTCTCTCTGCACCACGGCAGCGGTGAGTATGGACCGTTTAGCAGCTCTTCATTTTCATATGAGATACTCTAGCTTAGTGACAGTTCCTCGTGTTTTGTGTACTTTGGTGATGTTATGGGTGATAAATGTTCTTTGTTCAAGCATTTACTTTGCGAATTGGCAAGTAACTTACATTATTATGGCCGTTGGGATTGGAACTTGTGTTTTAATATCGACTTTTTCTTACGTTAAAATTTACCAAATTGTTCGTCGACATCAGCGTCAGATTCAACATCTTCAACCAACTGAACAGCCTCAGATTCAGAATAACCAGATTACACCACAAACTTATTCACGATTTCAGTCTAGTCATCGATTTATATCGCGTTTCAAACGTCTGCAAACAGTGGATCCACAATCCATAGGACAAACTTATCCCCCAGTTTCGTCAGTCCGAGATTCTCATCTTGCGAGAACATCTAGTTTGGAGATGAGTGCTCATCAAACAAGACATCAGTCTCATTCGCAAAGACAGGATGCCAATCTGATTCGTTTGAAAAAGAGCGCGTTAAACACGTTTGTGTTTTATATCTCTATAATTGTTTGTTACGTGCCAATGTCTTTTTCTATGATAACCTTTATCATTGCTCCGTCCGCTTGGGAAGAATGGTCGAATGCTTGGATCTTTGCGAACACACTTGTGTTTTTCAATTCTTCGGTAAACCCACTTTTATATTGCTGGAGAATTCGCGAATTACGAGGAGCCGTCTTAAAACTATGGGAGATGACATTTCCACGAACAACAGCAGAAGATTCTTAGAACCTTTGTCAACTGCGATATAAAAAATGACTTTAAAATTTTATTGATTTCAAGAGAAGGTTCTTAGGGGAGAGTGGAATGTTGTAGCCAATGCCTCTAATATTCAAATAGACTTCGTGCTTTGCGTAATATTCTGGAGCAAGATAAGTGGACTATGATTATTAAAAACGCACGATTTTCATGCGTTTATGACTTCTTGGCCTACGTATCAGCCGCGACCCACGCATCCTCCACACTACTGGTATAGCCAAGCGGTTTAGAGTGTCTGCGACGCCAGTTGTGAGGACTATGCCTTCTCAGTCATCCTGAACGACCACTCCAAATGGTTGCTTTTAACTTGACATTAACTTATCAAGTTGTTTTACTTTCCCTCTAAAGGTTGCGTGATTTTAACGTGCATACGGACGTAAATTTTACGCGCGTAAATGAAATAGAAGCTAATAGAGGCAATGTATGGAAGGTCACGTCACGTTGCCATAGTAGCAAAATTTTTGGATGACAACAAACCAAAAACGTCACTTAAAAAGTGAATTTGCACCGCTTCAAACTTCATCGATCTTATTCAATTTCATTTAATTTGGCAAATGTTGGCGAAATTTCCTAGGGTTGAATCCGAAAGGACCGTATCTAAGTTTAGAAGAGGAAAAAAGACAACTTTTGTGTTGTGTTCACCTACTCCATAAGGCAAGCGTGTCAAATTAGGAAGTTTCATGTCGCAGGGGTGCAACGACAGCAAAGAAATGTCCAAATAGCGTGATGCACGTGCAAATGTGTTGTTTTGTCAATTAAAACCTTTTACTTTTTTGCCTTTCGCCTTCAGTCGCCGTCGTCGTTGGTTTAGTTGTCATCCAGAAAGAGTGTTACCATGGTGACGTGACGTCATACTTCTCCTCTCCATTTTATTTACGCGCGTAAAATATGTGACAATTACGCGATAGTGGAAGTCCACCCTTGAGCATATTCGGCCGATTATGTCTTCACCTTTTTGCCGCTGTTTCGTCGTTTTTGCTGCATGCTTGTCATGGGATGGAATAAGGAAATCTTTTAAGAAAGTACTATCAAACCATAAGCTGTCCTCCTCGGAAAATTAACGACGACTTTTTTTTTAGATACAGTCCTTTAAAATCAGTTCAGCTCCAGAAAAATTCACTATGCAACATTAGTCAAATTGAACGACATGAATTAAAAGCGATGAATTTTGAAGTAGCGCGCGCGAATTCACTTTTTAAGAGACGTTTCGCAACCGTCGTCGTTGCTCAAGGTCCTTATGTAGTTTGATGCACCAAATGTACACTACCAGGGGGAGGGGGAGGGGGAATTTATGAGTGATAATACATGCAAGTGCAAGCGCAAAAGTTGTGAGTACTCTCCATTTCATGTCCTATAATGGGAGGAACCGCCCGAAAGAGGTACCTTTTGAGAGGTTTCAGGTATTAGAAAGGGTTGGAAAATTTGTCAGACGTCATAATTCAACAACAACAACAACAGCAAGTTTATTCAGTATTACCATTTTGTACAGGTGTTACCGATTAAAATAACAATAAACAGCTAAATTTAAGGAAATGAAGATATAATGGAATGGTAGAATTAGTTATGTTTCTTTCGTCTTTCAAATGCTTGAAAGACGAAATTAGCAGTTAGCCTGCTGATATGTGAATCAGTGTTGTTAAAAAGAAAACAGACTTTATCATGGATATTGTAATTTGTAAATAATGTATTTCGGTCGTTGATTTTAACAAAAAGAGTCTTTCTCAAATCATTATATAGATCACAGTGAAATAATATGTGCAGTTCATTTTCAACCGAATTTAGGTTGCAGTGATCACAGATTCTAAGGTCTTCAGGAGTTTTGGGAATTGTAAATCGTAATTCCATGAAGGAGTCAAGAAGGGGGTACCATTTCTGTCATAAAAGGCCTATACATGGGTAATAGAATGACCCCGAGGGCGGGAGAGCCAAGCCTCTCCTTCCCCAGTGGGTGGTGGGGTGGGGAGGGGGCGTCAAGTATTAAAAGCACGAACGCGAACGCAAAATCAAGCTCAGTAAGAAAAGGAAAACTCTTGATCTACATGTTGTATTGTAGTGAGAACCAGCCTTGATAAAAATTTTGTGACACAAATTTGAAAGTTGTAAACTGCATTCAGGTCAAATATGAAAGACTTTGCTGTTCTATAACACGTGGCTGGACGTTTGGATGTATTGTTTTTCTCACAACGTTTTTCCCCCGAGCACGTACGAAAATGGTGTTTTGCTAGCTAACCTTTTCACGTACGTGCAAACACTTTGTTTCTTTAGCTATTTTGCGCGGAAGTTTACGACAACTTTCTTGGCAAGGCTTTTGGCGTATGACGTCAGATATACTAGACGCTATTTTGAATGCCGTAAAACCTGTATTATTTTAAGCCAATCACTGAAGATTCCCATAGCTCATAGCCTGCGAATACAGCCGTCTATCCTGGCTCCTTGCCGCTAGGGACATTAGAGACGGCTGTATTCGTAGGCTAAAAGACTCAGTGAGCCAATCATTGGTCGAAAGCACGAGTACGGTGTAGTCTTCTTCGTAGCATCGCAGAGGAGCAAGGAGGACGGAGCGTCGAGTGACGACATTAATAACGGCTGCTACGGAGACTATACTGTAGGTGTAGCCGGGGCCGGACTCACGCATGGCGAAAGCTGCATGGGGACAACTCCTTTTTACGGGAAGTTTCAAGCGAAGTTTTAGCCTAACACGCAAATCCGAAGAATCGGCGAAATTGAAACTGCTCTGTTCTTATGAAGTTCAGTATCTCTTAACTTCCACTTTTTCACAAGTTATAATTTGAGTTGAGATTTCATCTCTCTGTAGGCCTTTCAGCTTATTACCATGCTTGCCTGCCTGTTGATCATTGTTACTATACTTCTTGCCACTTGCTACCCATTGAATCTGAGCGCTACAAGAAGATACCCAGAGTTGAGAGGCTTTGTTCCCTTTGACCCCTTTGTAATAGATCCGGAATTGGTGATGAATTCCACTATTTGTAGAAATGTACTCACTCATTAAGGGGTACCTTCTTGGAGAGCCTATACTCGATAAACAGTAATTTTACGAATACGTCTTGCAAGGCACTGTTTTATATATCATGTCTCTGTGCGATGAAAACATAATAAATCTTAGTACCTCATATGTTGAAAATATTCTAAATTGTTATAAATCCGAACTGTAATTTAACCTTCTTAACATACGTGTAGGGTAGAAGCCGTACATAGCCAAGTAATTTTTTTTATGTTAATATTCAATATATAGCTGTTGTTCCTCTCTGTCTTACTTAACTTTTATTTTACTTCGTTTCATTTGTTATTATATTGATTGTTTTGGTACTGAAATCTTTATTTCGAAGATAAAGTCAATACAGTTGTCGCTTATACTCATAATCTCACTTGATTTGAAACAGCTAATGGCCAATAATTTCTTACACGGCACCATGATCGCAGTATGAAGGCAAACGGAACAAAACGCTAAAGCAAACTTTGATTCAACAATAACTAATACTTTTGGTAACTGTCCCTTCGCAGTAAAGGCTTGAGATGAAAAGGTCAAAATTTAACGACAGGTCTTGAAAAGACCCAATAGATTTTGTCACTTTCACTAAATAATTTATAAAAATTATTTCTGTTTGATCCACGTCAGGATAAGTTTCGCTAAGTTCGAATGTCAGCAGAGAATAGTCAAGGAATCTACAACATTGAACAAGTAACGATATAATACGAATACGTTTCTACTCGGTAGTTAAATTAATGATTGCATAAATGAAGGCGCGTGCGAATTCACATGCTACCAAAGGGATAGGAAGGCTCACACTGAGAAGAAATTACCGTGTTTATGGCAAAACCGTCACCTGTTAAAACCTATCACCGATGTTATAATTTAAGAAGTAAACTCCAGAAGCCATAAGTTTTTTATCCTTGTACTTCCATACTTCTAAGAAAACGAATGATAAAAAAGTCTGAAATAATTTAATTCGGCACATTCTATTTAGACCATCAATGATTTCGCTAGGATTTGCTGAATGTAAAACAGACACTTTTGGGATACATCACTGATACATGTAAAATTTCTATTATTGTAAAATTAATGCGCATAACAACAATGAGCCTCAAATGAGCCTCATGGACAAGAATAGAAGAAAAATTTTAGTGAAAGTTCACGCACACTTTTGTCTTTATAACACAAAGGAAAACGTGCGTCATCTACGCTTATTGTTACTTTATGTAAGCGATTAGCTAAATTTTAGAGCTAAATGTGAATGAAGTATGGTCCCTCATGCAAAGATTCCAAGACTTTAAATGAAGCGAATGCAAAGCTTCTATTGAAGAACAAAACGCGATGTTAGAGGGAGTCAGATAATTTTGTATTAATCACCGTGGATTCAAAGTGGATTATCTAAAATACTTGCACGCTTTTCAGATCTTTTTAGGGTCAAGTATTCCGTCTATACTACGTCAGTGTTCCGTTCTTATTTTTAGTAAAGGTGAATACGTGACAAGTCCCTCAAAACACCAAACGACCCTTCCTTCTTAAATGCAGTTCTTGTGGATCGAAGAAGGAAGTAGTCGGAGGCCTACCCTTGAGGTAAAAATTAATCTTATTCATACACAAATATATTCTTTGTGCCACTATTATGACGTCACTTACCCACTCGGTAAAATCGCCAAAACAGCCTCTAATGTGTTGACAAAAGCCTCGTTTACATTCCTGCGGTAATTATTCAGTACCAAATGTCAAAACACCCACTGTGAAACACGACACGCGTCACTAAAGAAAATTGGAACCGTGAGAAGTGTATACAAGGAGATATATTTTATCTTACTTCACGTAAACATACTGATCGTTTCTAAACATATGGGTTGTGGAAGCAGCTCTCAGCCTTTAAAGAAGGGTAAGCCGATTATTTATTTTTGAAGTATTGCTTTGCTAAAACGTCTTAAACCATTTAGATTCTTAAATTTCAGAGTTTTGTTTTGGTGAATGTGGTATTTTCACTTAGTTCGCCATACATGACATCTTTACCCTATGTCTTGTAATTTCAGTTCTAAAGTTATTAAACGATAATTATTATGGTACTGCAGTAAATCATTTTCAGTATGTGCGGTCCAATTATAAATTGATGGATTAAAAAGAGAACTACTTTTAAGGTCAATTAAAACTTGATTCATTGTTAGATCTTTATCCCAAGCTTCGTTACTTCTACCTCTGTTGTCTTCTTGAGTATCGTAGCGATATTCTTAAGCAGTCAAACAAGAAGCAGATAAGCGCGTAAAACACTTATCATTACTTGACTTACTTCTAAAACTGGTGTTTTAGAGATCTATTCGGAGCATTATACAGGTCTTAGCTTTTGGCTGGCATGAGCTTGGCATGGCTTCAGCATGTGAAGACTAGATTATTAGGAATACAGTCGACTCTCTCTTAACGGACACCTCTATAAGACGAACACCTCTGTAAAACGGACACCTAGAGTTGGTCCCTGCCTTTGCTTATTCCCTTTATTTGACGTGACTCTTAGTGCCGGTCCCAGAGGCGTCCGTCTAGGAGAGAGTTGACTGTATTAGCCAAGGTCTCGAGAAGAGCAGCTAACTATTTCAGCGAACTCACGAAAGAAAAAAAAATCAATTGCCTTAATGCCTTAATTGTATGTCAAAATAACTTGAAAGATTATAGAGGAAGATTTTAATATCGTGCTCCGATGCAAGAAACCGCAAATCGTTTTAATTTTAGTGTTGGATTGTTGATTTGATAATGATTAAACTTTCTAATTATTGATTAGTGTGATATGACTGCTCGGTGGAGGTTATCGGAAGAACAATATTTATTCTGGAAATAACTGAATTTACAACAACAAATTTTAAAACACATTATAAATTGACCAATTGGCCACACTTTTTCTTGAGCAAGCAATATACAGCGCATCATATTTAGTATTTAATTATTTATTCAGAATGAGCTCAGTCAGGTAGCTTATAAACTAAGGCTGTTCAAGCTGTGCGATTTACTTGTTTCAATCCTCTCCAAGGGTTACTGAAGTTATAACAGATAACATCTGGTCACCCCCGGAACGTAACCACTGTAACCATGACAACCATAAAAACATCAACAAGATGTTCTTTATGAATCCTTCCACGATTACAATAGGAACAAAAAAATGGCTTTTTCAAAAAAATATAAATATATATTTAACAATTATTCCTTGAGCCCGAATGGGCTATTGACTCAGAGGGCATGAGGGCGAGAGGAATAATTGTTTTAGTAAAAGTCAACTAGTTGGTCAAAAATTTCGAACAAAACAACTTTAGCTAGCAAAAACGCGATTCAGCCGCCATTGTTTTGGTTTCAAAGCCGGCGCTTTACGCTACTAATGGGCTGTAACATTTAGCCTAGTAGTAGCTCAACCAGACAGAACGTAACATTGATAATAGACCCCTGACTAGTTGGCTTTTACTAAATACATAAATATATATATCGACTGTAGACAGCGTTTTTAAACAACTGCGTTTTTGGTGACCGTTATCACTGGACTTGTGTGAACTGAAGCTAGTCTTGCGAGGCCGTTACGAAGTACAGTAAAACTCAACGATTAAGAACCTGGATTTTTTTCCAAGTTAGCCTAATCAGGTTCTTATATAAATGGTAGTTAGCACAAGTTTAGGCTATTTAGTTTCTTAAATAGGTTTTTATTTTCTGAAGAAAAAATACAATATAGTTAAGAGTATTTAGTGGTTCAGCTTATTCCTCATATAAAATCGGCATCCTGACCAAATTAGAAGTTACTGGTACGTAAAAATTACCACGAAAAGAGGAACTAAAGCTTGACCTCAAGAATTTTGAAGTCCTACCTCAGAACATAACATACATTTATTGTAATTCCTTGCCTGTTGCAATCATTTCTTAAAGTTGAATGTTGACTTATTGTATTTCCAAGTGTACAAAATCTTTTTTGTAGATTTTAAAAAATAAGAACGTGTTTCAAATAGCTTCAAATTTTAGGCCAAACAGGTTTTTATATGGAGGGGGCTTAACTAGCAAATTTTAGCCTAACAGGTTCTTAAAATCGAGGTTCTTGGTCGGGGGGTTTTTCCGTAACTTGCGAGCAGACGTGTCCTATATTTCCTTTGTTGAAGGCGGGAAACGGACCTTTTCCCTCTAATTTAGACACTGCTTAAAAACACACCGGCTCTTTTCGCAAGATTGAAATTTTCTTTCAAGGAATTTCCGCGACAAAAACAATGACCCACTCGGTTCACTGAAGTTGTATTGTTCAACTACTTAAGTTCACAAGAGCTTAGAAACCGGAGACTCATATATTCAATTCCTCGTTGCTTTTAAAGTAGCAATAATCATTTGATACGTATAAAAATTGAGGCGAATCATTTCGACCAGTTACAAGTTAAATAAGGTTTTAACGAAAATTTGAAATTTTTGAAGCTAAAGGGAAAAGAAGCATGAAAGACATGTTGATTTTTAGAGTTGAAAACCAGCAATGAATTTTAGCGATTTGGAGGGTCTTTGGATTCGTCATGTTTTCTAAAACAAAAAGGACAGTACCAAACAGTTAAGGTAGGATTATGTTTGTTTTGACTATTAAACTGATTTTTTTGTGTTTTCGTAGTATTTCGTGATATTGCCAGCTTACCAACACTGATCCAAACCAACCTTAAATTTATTTTAATCTAAACGAAAAAACGGTCACGCAGTTTGGCGGCATGGAATGTGTTCCTTTTCACTTCAAATGACGTCAAATTATCCTTAACCCTTTGAACTGAAATTGGTAGGCATAAATTGCCTTTCTTATGACATAATAGCTATTGTACTGGTTTTAACAAGGATTTTTCATCTCTTGTGAACATAAGTAGTAGCGGAAAGCAATTCAGTGAGCAATATTCAGTTCTAAAGTGGGCCCTTGTTGATGTCACGGACATCCGTTTGATGAACAATTCTGTAAGAAAGAGTTAGTAGTTTTCAGTAAACTTTACGTCCAATTCAAGGCAATCAGATATGATTTTCCTTCGTTTTTGCGCTTTTACAATCACATACTGGAATGCTTCAGTACCCCTTTAACGCCTGGCCTGTGCCAGGTGTACAGATAAGGAGAGCGCGGCGTTCAGGTGGTGAGGAGCGAATTAAATCGTACGAGGGGAAAACGAGGGCAAATGGAACCTCGGTTTTTCTTCCCTTTTCAATTTTTCTTACACGCTCTACTATCTGAACGGCTTAAACAGACTGTTTCACGCCTCGCAATTATTCTGGTCTAGTTCCTTGCCTTTTGAGTAAGGGTAGGCTTGGAACAATTAATTGAGGAATATGTTGTGGAATGTGGTGTAGAAGAACCGTTCTGTTTACATCGGAAGGTTTTAAATCTTGATTGACCTTTCTTCCAGACCTATAAGGTAAAAAACGATCCCGAAAGGGCATCTTTTCATAAACCCGAATGTCCTACGGTGGAGATTCTTGAACACATATTTTTTTCTGTCTTTGCGTGTACGTATGAAAACAAAGATTTTGCAACGTTGAAATGACGGTATCCCAAGAGAGTCTGTTGTAGTCAAACTTTTATGCAAAGAGGCTATTGCCGTTATACGTCAATTCTGAGCTTAAGTCATTACCTAGTGCCTTTTCCAATATTCAAAATGAAAGAAATCCGACCTCAGCTAATTAATTTTCAAATACGGAGTAAGGGGCACTAGACTGTGGAAAACATATCCCACTTTTTGTCTGTTTGAACCCTTCTAGAAACTCGCGCCCAGTCCCAAGTGACAGTAGCGGCCCAACAGCGAGCCGAAGCTGCGTATAGGCGTCAGCGAATGGCTCAAGAAAGAGCAGAACAGACTGCGGCTTGGCGCGCTGAGATGGAAGGAGAGCGGGCTCGAATGGTTAAGGAAAAGGCAGGTGAAGGGAGTAGGAGGTCGTCAAACGGTAAAGAACTAGAGGAATTGAAAGAACGGGCTCCAAAAGGTAGGCTATTTTGCGAAAAAAAAAATTTACAGTCCAAAATAGTTGGAAAATTTGGTCGATACCCCCCCCCCCTCCCCCTTCATAAAGTTGAAAATAGCTCAGACTTTCCCAAACGCAACTTGTTATCAACACTGCAAAGGGACAAGGGATCTACACTGTGCAGCTTAAAAAATCGTAAGTGTTCGAAGGTTTCGGATGTCTAAGAAGGGCTGGCCATAAAAACGTAGACAGCTCCCTAAAACGGACAAATAGAGTTGAGTCTATTGTCAACTCTCGCCTTGCTGACACCTCGCTGTTACGGACAGCCCAACAGTATCGTCAGTCGTTTGACCAAAAAAAATCGTCCTATTGGGGAATCTCGTTACCACGGACTCTAACTCACGATCCAGAGGTTATCGCAACAACGGGAGTTGAGTTTCTTTTGGAAAATATTCTTGTTTTATGTGTCACCGCGCATGTCAAACGCTTCCTATTCCGCGATCCTAATAAACTCCATGATGCAGGGCAATATCATTAGTTGAAAGAGTTGTCATAAGTGAGAGTATTTCATTTTGCAAGGTTCCGTAATCTGTAATCTCTTTTATTGCAGTTTCTGATCACCTGAATGCTTATCTTCCCGACTACAAAGTTAGGACCAAGAACGCACGCAATTCTCTTCCGGTGAATAGATTCCCACATTCGACTGTAATATCTGAAAGGCGAGTGTCTAGAGATGAAAGAGAAAAGCGAGCATATTATCGACAAAAGGAAAAGGAAGACGACAAAGACGGAAACGACCATCGAAGGCTCAGCACTGGTGAAAAAATAGACCTGGATTTCTTACGGACAATAGCAAATCGCTCGAGTCAAACTTCTCCAAGCAACGTTCAAATTGTCACAGTAGAAGAGCGGTATGGCCCTCAGTTCCCGAATACCAGTACAGAGGTGATCGAAAAAGTGCCATTTCAAGAAAACGATGGAATGAGATGCGAGGAATCTAAGAAAAACGAGGAGGGAGCGATTGCTGAAAGGGCAGATGTTGGTAAAGAACACGTGTCTAACTACCCAGTGGAAAGTTACGCCGACGTTAAACCGAAGGAAAACGAAAATGCGTCGTCGACTTACAAGCATTTACCGATGGTTGATGATAATACTGAGGATGGTGACCATAGTAACGTAGAAGGATTACCAGGTACGGATACTCAGAATGTTACGAAACGAATCAAACAAGAAAATGATGATAACAGTGTCAAAAGTGACGGTAACAAAAAAATTAGTGACATTTCAGTGGGTTTTGGCGAAGAGCAAAGCAAAATTTCTAACACAGTTGAGACGGTACCCAAAAAACAAGAAGAAGGAGAAATTTTAGAGAAACATGAAGGAGACGAGGAAGTCGAAGATTATAAGCGAGAAAAACAGAGATTAGGAGATAAGGAAGACCGAAATGTTCTAACGCCAGACCAAGACTCACAACAAAATGATGAAAAACAACAGCAGCCAGAAGAAAGAGATAATCAAATTCATGTATGTGAAGAGCAAGGGGACAAGAACAAAGAAAGAAAGCACATGGAAGAAACTGTTATTGAGACAACTATAGAAAAATCATCACCTTGTGGACAGCATAACGTAACGGCACGGGATGAGTATACTCAGGGCATAAGTTCAAAAAATAATAATAGCATACGAAACAGTGAAGCACTAGGATTATGACAAAGATAATGATTAAGAAGCACATCCTTTCCTATAATAATGCGCGAGTAGAGTTTGCGCGAGTAGAGTTTAGTTTGAAGTAAACTTGTCATCTCTACCTTAATGTGCTCTGGTTAAAAGAAGCAAAATTCGGTTAGTAATTATTATTTTTTGCATAAAATCAGAACCAATCAAAGAGAGACGAGATATACAGTAGAACCCCAAACCTAGTTCACAGGTTCCCCTCCTACTCGGGGCCGAGTAGGAGAGGACCCTGGGAACTAGGTTTTGGAACCCCTTCAACTCGAACTCTGAAGGGAACGAAAAACAGTTCGAGTTAGCGTGGGTTCGAGTAATCGGGTTCGATTGAATGCCAAATTTTCCATCTTAATAATTAAAATAGTTACTGATTTTTAAGCCCTTCCGTTTAATATACGCAAATTTAACTTATTTTATCAGAAAGGGTAACATGATTATGCTTTGTTATCTGTTCATTGCACCAATCAAAATCTAATTACTCTAGTGTTACTTTTAGTGGGTTTACCGATTATACAACAAGAAGAGCTAATGAAATGGCATCCGAGTGGAGTTACAAGAACCAGAATTCGAGTTATGGGGTAAATTTCAGTGAAATTTTGGTCAAGAGAAAGGACAGTGACAGCTCTAGGCGGTTACATGCACACTCTCTTGGTTGGCTGAAGGCTGCTGGGAAAACTCGTGTGCGATTAAAAGTTTTGCTTGTGTTTTCAGTGACTCGTTATTTAAGTTTACTTCAGTGCACAGCGTAGAAGTGTTATTTACCCAAAAATGCTTACGTTGATTCTACCGAAAACCATAAAATTAAAGATTAGATTAAGGGAAGATTAATATAAGGGATATTCAATTTTCATGCTTCATATCAAAAAACTCTTTTAACGTACATAGAAAGGGCTTGATTTCTTCAATCAAATGTAAAACATAGCGGTGTACAGTCTTTTCCTTCTCTTCAAACTTGCCCATGAGATCCGCACGTAGTTAATGCCTCATTTGTACGTAAAACAAGAATCTATTAAACAAATCATGAGAAAAATGAAATAGAAGATTTCTGTTGTATAGCTTGTTTACAGATAGGGGGACGCCTGTACACAGGCTACTATTGTACTGCCTTTCCCGGTCTCAGATCGAGTGTAGGAATGTTAATCTCTGCCATATTTCCAACTGACTGTGAGAAAGGTTATCATATCAAATGGTAAAAGCGTATTTTTACATAATGCCGAAACGTAGCGCAGGATATCGTCAAGTAATATGAATAAAAAATCCGCGACCTCTCCACTAGCAGTAAAAAGCCTTGGACCTTTGTTCATGGTTTGAAACGTTTCTTACTGACAACCTTTCTCGGAATGGAGGCAATACTTCATCTGTTTTTCACCAGAAAATGATCGGTTTTCTTGAAATTTCTCGTTATCTAACTGAAAAGCAGACATGATTAAAACTGAACGTAACTGCTTGCTACAATTTTTCGCAAGTGAAATAAAATATTAATAACAATTTTCCTTCGCTTTCCTGTATCGTTCTAAATGGGCTGCAGATGGCGCGTATTCGGATATCTTTGAAAACGGAGATTAGTTTTAGATTTAGTTTTAGCCTCCTGTCCACACGCAAACGGCGTTTTCGGGCGCCAGAAAACGCATGTTTTCGAAAACGATCCCGAAGCGAGGCGGGAGTGAAAACGTCGGCTTATCGTTTTAGGGGGGGTGCGCACCCCCTGTACCCTCCACCCTAGATCCGCCCTTGTGTATAGAGCATTTTCACTTATTTGGTCAGCAGCTATGCAAATAGGCTATTTTTGACTTGCCCTAAGCCTCCATTTCGATGCGCGAAGCCATTAATATAGAAGTGAATTTTTATTCTCATGCAAATAATGTAAAACTCTTTATCCTGAGAAAGGTTTTGCACGTAGTCTCTATTTGAAAGTGAAAGTTTTTTGAACTCGGAAATGGCCTATTTTTATTAGGAAAAAGTAAAGGTTTTATATAAAAAAAAGGTTACACTCCCACAGGAATGGGTTTGGAACACCAACATCGCTGCAGTTTCATTAATATTTCTGGAACAGCAATATGGTGGACGTGACGCCTTGTGAAAATGCTCTGTAGCTGTCAAGAAAGCAACGAAGCACAGACTTTAAGACAACTTTACGATGTACATGCATTTGTATGTACAGCCCGAAAATGCTTCGACTTGCAAACTTCGAGCGACTACAGTAAAAACCCGCGATTTTTCCAAGCTAGCCTAAACAGGTTCTTATATAAATGGTAATTAGCACAATATAGGTTCTTCTTCTGAAAAAAAAAGCATGGTAGCTATAAGTATTTAGTGGTATTCAACTCATTCGTTATATAAAATTAATCTGCATACCAAATCAGTATTTTCTGTAAAAATGACTATGACAAGAAAGACTGAAGCACTGAATTTTGAAGTCGCTTTGCCTAAGTGTACAGAATTTTTTTTTCATAGATTTTAGAAATATTGATATGAACCCGTTTCAAACTTTAGGCTAAACAGGTTCTTGTACAGATGGGGCCTAACTGGCAAATTTTAGCCTAACAGGATCTTAAAAACCAGGTTTTCAGTCACGGGTTTTTACTGTATGCGGAAACAACAGAGTCACGTGACACTAAAATCCAGGGGCACCCAATGGATCTGTTCCTCAAAATATCTGTTCTTCAGGCACATTTTTGCTGGCTGGGAGATGTGAAAGAAATAATAGTCCTTGGAAGGAAAGTGTTGCTGGGAAAAAGATAATTCAGGGTGTCAGAGGGGATTTGAAGTCTAGAATAGCTGCTACGGGTTACTTGTATGGGTTACTTACCATTCAGGATCTGAATTGTGCCCTATGAAACTTCCCAGTAAGTCAGGTTGCAGGTTGTAAGGTTGCTGGCTGGGAACTCTTCCATCAGTCTTGCTGGGAGTGAGGAACAGATAATTCTTTTCCAGCAATCTCCCAAAATGCTTAAAATAGTCTCAGAAAACTTTAGTCACGCTTTGTTGTTGTTTTTAGGTCTTTTTCTCAAAATTTCCTGTTGGGTGCCCCTGAAAATCTACATACTAGTCAGAGTAGGGTAGTGAAATTGCCCATAGGTCTAGTCTTATAGGTCTCTCTATCCAGTATGATGAGCTGTAACAATAGCAGCTTGGCTCTCTTTGTTTTTTTTCCCGCAACGAAGACCTGTTCATCCTTTGAGGATAACGTTTTAAATAAAGTGGTCCCTGCAAATCTGTTAATTTATTAATATCTTCCAAAGTAATGAACAAAATTTACAATTACTGGTTTATAATATACGAAGAGTTGAAAAACTCGAACAGCGAGTTTACAAAGGGGTTTCTAATTTGTTCACTGTGTATACTTTGAAGGTTTTGGATTAACCTATATATGTCACAAAATGGCAATAAAATTTTTTTCTTGTCAGATTTACGACATGTGTTTGTTTTGCATTTCGGCATGAATTATTGATATTTTCGTAATGCTTCTAAAAGTTGCTCAATAATTAGAATAAAAACATTGAATGCACACTTTCAAGTTCGATATCTGCCAGAAAACATGCAAATTGTTGAACGTCGTTCTACAAAATGTAAGTTTGTCATTAGGGTTCTCGTCATTTCTATAACCTACAAAGTTCTCCAAAGTTGTATTTTTTTAGTACGACGGGTATGGGGTATAATGTTTTTCTCAATTTTGACAAAATGTTTTTCTTTTCTTGATTACGGTGGTAAAGCTTTCCTTGTTTATATCATCAACAGGATGCTTTTCAACTGGTACGGTTGCTTGAGTTAATGTTTTGGTTATCATATAAATAATAAACAAAAGACCAGGTAGACTTGTATGCAAACAAGTTTTCATTGCGATTTAGTTACGCTGTATTGACATTTAAACTGACAAATTTACTGATATTTTAGATGCTATCAGATGTTATTGGCTAAATGAAAATATATTCAACAGGACAGGAACAGAAGCGGGTGGTATACTGTTGCCTTTGTAACGCTGTACCGTGTAACTAATAAATTGCGATGGATGTGAAAGATATTTTTCTTCAAGAGCTACAAGTGGATAGCATTCATCCATCCGTTGACAAAGCACAACATAAGCTATTCATCGCGATAAAGAAAGGCGATTTAGATAAAGTAAGGGGAATTTTAAGCTCCTTTCCAGAAAAATACGACCTTGATCGTCTATACGATTTTGGTAAAACCGCTTTACAAGTGGCAGCAGACATAAAGGATGTTTCCGTTCGAACCCATATGGTTAGAGTCTTATTGAATGGCGGGGCTAGCTTAGAGGTTGGTTTGCTACAAGCGGTACATGATGGTGACACAAAAACCGTGCAGATTCTGCTTCAGTTCAATGCAAGCCACTCGAAGCCCTCATCGCGTGCGTTTTCCTTTCAAGGTGAAACCGCCTATGTAACTCCGCTGATCCTTGCGGCCTGTTTGCAGGATTTTCAACTTATCAAGCTGCTGTTGGATCATGGATTCACCATAAGCGACCCTAATAATATCTGGTGTTCAAAACGTTCTAACGAAACAGCTGGCGAAAAGTTTGGCCCATCTGTGTATCGTTTAAACAGATACCGCGCTCTTGCCAGCCCCATGTTTATAGGCGCGTCATTTCTTCAGAACGTACAGAGTGGTCCGGACCCCATTCACCGCGCGTGCGCAATGAGCAAAGAGCTTCGGGACACAGCTGAGCAAGAATACGAGTTCAGTAGCGAGTATATTGAGCTTAGTGATGGCTGTGAAGGATTTGCTGTCGGACTCTTGAATGAATGTCGGACAATGGAAGAAATAAGATGTGTGATGCAGATAAAAAACAAAGGAGAACTGCCCCCAGATTCCGAGGAAAATGCATTAAATATGCTAGAATTTGCTATTTCTACAACAAATAGAAAGGTATGAGAGACATTCTTTTTTTACCTTAATACGTTCGTCAATTCATTATCCGGTTAGATGAGATGTACTCTCATGATTGGCTCATCCAGTAGGAAAAGTCTTGTAGGGAGTCTGTACACACAGGTTTCAATATGCTTCTCTTTGATTTAGTTTTGATACTCGAGGCAGCACACTGTGTATCCAGCTGACTATATCATCATCATCATCATTACTGCCTGTTACAAATGTTAGTTATCATGAATAGCTTACGAAGGTTTAAAAGTTTAACGGGAAACGCAACCCATATATCGCGGCAATTAGAGCTGCTGTCGGCAGTTTTACGACAATTTTCTTTTTCATATTGCAGTTTGTCAGTCATCCTTTCAGTCAGCTGATTTTAAACACAGAAGTCTACAGAAATGTTCCGTTCCTGGAGAAAAGTGCCTTGAAACAAGCTGTGCTAATACTTCTTACAACCGTGCTGTATCCGTTGGTGTTTATAGTTTGGCTTGTTTTTGAAAGCTGCTTTCCAAGACATGAAGTGTCCAGAATGTTCCATTCTCCATGTGCAAAGTTCCTCATCTTCTGCGGTTCTCACCAAACGTTTCTTGTCCTACTGGCTGTCACATCATTCCACTCTGCCTTTCTTGGGTACACCATTGTTGGTAAGAGAAAAAGAGGAGAATAACTGTAGTATGGTTTGAATGCAATAATCGAAATCTAACATTTTTAGACAAAATTTGGTAATAAGCTTGTACCAAGTCTTATTTGCAAAAACCAGTTGTTCAAATTAAAATTAACAATTTATTATAACCGCAAAATAAACAGTTTGTACAATTAAGCAGAACTGAAGAAAACTGTAGGCCCTCATCTATTTTTCTTCTGAATTGTCTCTTGAGGGAGGAATCTCGCCTTCAATTGGCGAATGACTAAACTGTTCGTTCAAACACGGTAACATTGTGTGATTTAGCACCTTAGCCTCAGAGCTTAAGACGAATTCTTGACAAGATCGAAAGTTTGCTTAAAACTTTGTTTGCGAATCTAAAAATTTCACATTAGTAGAAAGTAAAAAGATTGTTTGATTATATTGTTCTTTTATTTCTTTTGGCTTTCTACATTGTATCCTTTAGATTGGGCAGTTTTTGTATTTGTCATCGGTTACCTCGTAGACATTGTCAAAGACATTCTCCAACAAGGAAGATCTCGCTTCTTTTCTTACTACTGGAACTTTCTGGCTGTAGTCTCAACTACGCTATTTGTTATTCACTACATCATTTGGTGGACAAGCCGAGTGGCCCTGGATAACACACTACATTCTGCTGAATGGTCGAAACACGCCGAAAACCGTTCTTACTCTGTGCTGTTAACTTCCGAAAGCTTTATGGCTCTTGGAATCCTTATAGCCTTTACCCGTAACTTCTCATTCATTCAAGCGAGCTCCAGCACCGGTCCACTGCTACATGCGTTCATTCAAATGCTAATAGATGTGGCCAAGTTTTTTTTATATTTCGTTTTTGTTTTTCTGGCATTTGCTGTGAGCTTCACTAAATTGTACTTGCAGTATCAGAAAGCTAGAGAATATTTTCTTCAGAGCCAGGGTGGAGCAAATCAAACAATTCCTCTGAACCTAGAAAGGTATGATCGATGTATAACGCTCCTTCCCCTTGTCGTGATCATAAAACCATGTGCTTTGTCTAAATCACACTTCACCAAAAAAATGGTTAAAAATGATATGATAGGAGTGTGTGGATCTTACAAAGGTATGGAAAAACGGAATCGATCTGTTTTTGGCTTACCTTTTAGATTCTAACACTACAGACTATGTAGTTGACTTGACACGGGCATCTACGATGATGGGCAAAAGTCTTGGGACTCATTAGCATTTGTAGGGCTGTTTTCAATTCGCATGGCCATCCCCTCCCTCAACCCCACAAACAACGCTAAACACGTATATCCAAGTTTCAACATTGTATAGGATGGGGAGGGGGGGGGGGGGGGGGGGGGAGAGAGGGCAAAGAAAATTGGGAAAGGGAGGCACCAGAAAAAAATAAATAAAATAAATACAAATCACTGTCCCAGGGATTTTTATCAAGGTTTAGAAAAAAAATTTTTGGAATTTACCGTTGCCATTAAATTTTTTTTTTTTTTTCTCTTTTTTTTTTTTCTGGTGGTGGGGAAAACTGTTCCGCCCCCTTTACTATTGTCTCGTCTGCTTCAACCCCCCGCCCCCCCCCCCCCCCACCCACCCCAAAAAAGAGGTAAGACGGATTATCAAGGGTGGAAAAGGGTGGGGGGGGGGGGGGGGGGGGGGGGGGGTGGGGGAGAGAGATGCAAGTAAATTTGGAAAAGGATGCACCTAGAAATAATAAATATAATGAATACTCATCACTGTCCCATGGACTTTTGTCCAGGATTGCATACATAAGTTTTGGAATTTACCGTTGCCATTTAAGATTTTTTTATACTTCGCTCTTTTTTCATTTGTAGATTTGGAAGCAGTATGAACACTATCTTTTGGACGCTGTTTGGTCAAATAGACGAGAGTAGTTTCAAAATCAACGAGTCAGGTTACGGTGCCATATGGAAAACAGGGATGACCCTGTTTGGTGCGTTCAACATTGTAGCTGTCCTTGTGGCTCTTAATATGCTGATTGCAATACTCAACCAGCGCTATACGAGTGTAACGGTTAGTATCGAAATCAAATCCCTTTAGAAAGTATCTCAAGGTCAAAAGGCCTGAGAAAACAGCCGATATTCCGCGAAGCCACAACTGGTTTCCCCGCGTGGAGGAGTAAGGTTGGTGTAGTGGTGAGAACACTCCCCTCCCACCAATGTGGCCTGGGTTAAAACACCCGGCGTCGAAGCCATACGTGGGTTGAGTTTGTTGTTGGTTCTCTCCATTGCTCCGAGAGGTTTTTATCTGGGTACTTCGGTTTCCCCCTCTCCTCAAAACAGACACTTCCAAATTCCAATTCAATCTGGAACGCACGGACAAGTTTAAACGAGTTCATATGAACTCCTAAGTGTTCCGTTGGTAAACAAATTACAATTTTCAATTTTACAAATGACGTCTGAGAAAAAGAAAATGCACTTTATTTGATTGTCAATATATTAAGCTCGAAAGTACTAATTGGGTACATTATTTTGACGTCTGATACTGGAGAACTGGGACCGCCATTTTATGTGGTAATGATCATCCGAGCCATGCGAGGGTGTAACTGTTTGCAGGGCAAAGGCAGTACCTTCATTTCTCAGTTATTTTAAGATCCTGAATATTGGTCGGACTCTAGGAATCGAACCGGCGACTTTCCGCTCTGTAGTTAAACGAGCGCAGAAATTCCATACTGATGACACATCACTACCCACATCGGGGTAGTACTTCTGATTGATCATGCCGCCTGGTAAATTTGCTTCAACCAATCAGAAGTACTACCCAGATCTGGGTAGTGACACGTCATCAGTATGGAATTTCTGTACTCGTTTCTCAGACGTCATTTTGCGGGGAAAGCAGAGGTGGCATCTCCAAATGTCGGTTGATTTCTTAGGCTAAAGGTCGAACTGATACCCAGTACTAGCAGATTAGTGCACCACTTTACCGATAAGTGGCAAATTCGGATAAATGGCAAACTTTTCCGGATAGAGATTCATCATACATCATACATTCGAGCAACTCCAAATGGACATTTTGCATAATACAGTCACTTCTCTTAGTCCCAAACATCCAAAACTTCAGACCGGACAATTAACCCTAACCTCTACACCACAGACATCTTTGTAATTTGGACAAATACTATATCACCCCAAAAAAGAAAACAAAAAAAAAAGGAATCAAATCGCTCAGTAACTTGTCGAACTGGTAAACCAGACCAGTGATTTTTTCTTAAAGAAAACACGCCTTCGTATCCCCGATGTGCGCATGCTCAATGACCTTTCGATTTCTTCACTCAGCCACACTTTATTTTAGTTTTAACTGAGTTGCATATAACCTCAGAAAAGACGCTTTGTGATATTTAAATTATGCAGAAATTGTAGGATACTTAATGAACAAACTCTTGAGCATATCCTTACAAGCGATCTCAATAGCCCACTTTCGATACATGTATATCAAAATGCTAACATGACTCCGAGGCTTAACGGACAAAATTGCACTGAGTCCAATGTCTCGTATTCCCAGAGGAGACTTGAGCACCTGAAACCAAAACCAATTATAGAAATATGACCAGAGAGCCTCGAAGTCATGTTAGAATTTTGATATATCGAACATGGGCTATTGCTTGGTTACAGCGGTTACCACTAATATGCCCCCTCCAAGGTTTTTTTTTCTGTCTCTTGAAACCTGAGTTTTCGTGGACGCCAATCAACTGTTTCCATGGTTTTCTCACGCACCCTGACAGAGAAGGTTCCCTTGTCGCTGAATGAAGGGTGAAGACTTACAAGAATAATTTGGAATGGTGATTTCGAGTTGCGAGCGTGTAATGAGAAAAGCTTATGTGGTTGTAACCTATAGTGTGTAAATAAGTCGATAATTTGAGTTTTCTCCGACAAACACTCAACAAATTTGTACTCCTCGTAATCTTGACATGAACCAGCGTCAGATCTTGTGGCAAAATATTGCAAAAACGGTTGAAAAGGCCGAAATGTTCCTCCGAGTGCTCGAGAAACGGAAAAAGAATTTTCTCTCGGGCAACGCGTGAAAACCATGGTCACGGTTGATTGACGTCCGAAGAAACCGAAGGAAAAAAACCTTTGAGGGCGTGCGTTAATGGTAACCGCTGTAAATAAATAAGTCGAGGCTTGGCAGGAATGCGACACGGTTCCGATTCGAAATACAAATTTAACACTTTGTTGTAACTGACTCCGTGGTATGCATGGTTCTGGACATCGAAGAATAATTGATATGGTGATCTTACTGATATGATTTTTAAATGGTTTACAGGAAAACTTGGACATCGAGTGGAAGTTCACAAGGACAAAGCTGTGGCTAAACTGGATTTACAAAAAAGGTGTTCTTCCACCGCCATTTAACATCCTGTACGTGTTTCTTCCCGTACGGTGGATCATTAAACGTGTTCTCACAATGTGCATTCCTGCAGCTTTCTTGGTTAGTAATGCTTTTCTTAACGACAGGATTGGATGAAAACATTTTTACCACAACTGGAACTATGTTTATAGATTTATTTAATTAACTCATTGCTTATAGTTTGTCATCTATTTAACTCTGGTCTACGACTCAAACAATTTTCTTTAACTATTTAGCTGTTTTTCAAGAAGATGATGAAAAAGAAGCCTGGCACGACATTGAAAGTTAAAAAGATGGATGAGCAGCAGGTATCCAAACTGTTATTGTACCAAGAGAGTCGCATACCTTTGAAGCAAAAAAAAGTGCGCAAATTTTGTCTAACAAAGCACGGATTTAGCAGAGACACTGCGACTTAAAATGAAATAAATACGGCGGGGCTTGGTATCAATCTTGAACCGGCAAAACACGATCTTTTCTTGGAATGAAGACTGATGTGAACTGTGGAAATACAAATTTAAAGGTAGATTTGATCGTCGCAGTTGTGATAGGCTGATAGCAATTTAAGAGATTGCAAATAATTCGAAAAAGGAAAAAAAATCACAGGTACTTTATGTTCAACAAAAAAGCTGAAAAGTAGTAATTCAGACAAGCATTAAAATGTTAAAGGTTTCTTTTTTTCTTTTTTGTTAGAGGAGAGAAGTGTTAAGACATCTTTGCTTGAGATACTTGGCCAAGAAATCCCGTTATTCTGAGACCGAAAACAAGAGAAGGGACTCAGAGGATGAGAACGACAACAAAGCTCCCTTGAAACACAACATGAACACAGACCAAATGCCAAAGGAGATTGAAACCATGGATACATCTAAGCTAGTGATAAGGAGAAAAGGAGGAACCAAGCTGTAGCCTTGATCAAGTTTACCATACGTGGGTTGAGTTTGCTGTTGTTATGTGTGGGTCACCAAACATGGATTCAGTTTGTTGTTGGTTCTTTTCCTTGCTTCGAGCCGAGAGATTTTTCTCTGGGTACTCTGCTTTTCCCTTCTCCTCAAAAACCGAAAAAAAAATTCTCAGATTGCAGTACTAGACAAAGAGCTATTTCGTAGATATGCTACCACTAGAAAATATTATTTTGTTTATTTATTTATTCTTTTACCATCAGGTTAAACTACAATAGCATGATTTTTTAAAATTGATTTTTTAGTTCACTTGAAATCGTAACAGCGAAAAATGTAGGCTCGATCATTTTTTTAAAGCCTTCAAATGTATTTAATCAGAACAAAGTTCGTTCTTTTCATTTAATTTTCCAAAGAATTTTGGCGTCAAAACAATATTTGATGAGTATTTCCATATAGAAAAGATGTTGATGTTGATGATGTTGATGATATCTTACATTCATGTGCTACACACTTTAATCCGTAGATCAGGCTTACGTTCGTTTAGAAAGGTGAAAATGTAACATTGATTTTTCAAGCTCGTTTAAAAAGAGAGAAATAATGAAAACTATCCCAAAAATCAATGCTTCTTGTCAATCATTCACTCAAGTACTAACTTAGCCCAGCAGAGACGAATTTTTTGTTCAAGTTTAAACTTTGTAATCACATGTGACTTACAGTGGAGCTGGTGCTTGAATAAAAGCTTTGCACTTGCCTCGGCATTAAGGTGGCTGAAAGCAGTTTGTTAGGTAAAAGTGAGATTTGTATCGTTGCCATGGCAACGTGATTGATTGAAAACAAGCCTTAAATTTGGAATTTAGTTGATTTACGTAAAATCCGGTCATTAGATATTTATAAATTTGCGCACAGCTTACATTTAGTAACCCTTGTGTTTTAAAAACGACTTAACCAAATTGTAACAAATAGTTTTTGAAATTGTCACAAAATAGCTTTCATGAAAGTCTTGATTCTATCACAAAACTCCTTTGTTCAAAATATATTTTGAGGCTTAAGTGCGATATGAACAGGATTTCTGCAAAATTTCGTAAAAATTTTTACGAGAAGATTTGAAGATATTGTCGATTATCTACATTGCTTATGAAAGTGAACAGAACAAGTGCTCTCACATTGCACATTCCACTCTCATTCCTAAGTACGCAGGCGCACCACTTATTTAAGGTCACATAACAAATTTCTATTAAACTCTTTTTATTAACATGTCCTGGCACTTTTTTCTTTACAAGGTTATTGGTTGCACACCTCCTCATGATAAAGATGTTAAAATGCACAGTAAAGGGATAAACCAGTTCTATAGAAACTGTTTTGAGCCACCTCAAAGGCACCTAAACTCAGAGGGACCTATAAACGACTAAGGCCTAATGAGGGTAACGAGCTGTGCCTGGGTGGTATGGTTGTGTACATGCTAAAGGGTGGACTCCACTGCTGAGTTTCACTGGCGAAAAATGAATTATTGCTCGACGCGCGGCAACGTGACATAGTGAAAATTCAATATGGCGGAAAAGGTCCTTCATTTGTTTATTCCCAGTGATAGAAGAGAACAATTCAATAGCACCAATATATATAGTTTTCTTGCCGGCGCAAGAGCTACCCGGTATAGTAAAAATATAACCTAAAACTAAAGGTTTCCAGCTTTGTTGGCGACAAGCTGCCAATTTCTTTAGTCTGCATGTGCGCGAAAGCAGCCCGGGGAGGTTCTTGCTCTTTGATTTGCCGGCTTTGAGAAACCCTGCATCCATAATACGAAATAATACACACACAACGTAACAGCATAAAGGGATGAGGATAAATTGGAACACATTGAAATAAATGTGAGTTTGAGCAGAAACTAGGGAAAAATAATCCGAAAATATCAACGAATAAATCATTCGAATTCAGAGCAATGTTTTGAGCAATTCTTAGTGTTAACACGATTGGCTGTTGGTTTAGTTTTAAAAGAATTATGTGGTTCTGGAGATATTTTCCCCGAAGAACCGGGAGTCTTCGGCTCGTCCCGCCTACGAGAAATTTGTTTTGAAAATTCTAGGGACTTACTAATCACTGACTTCTGCTCCCCAACGATTTCTCAAACAATGGACCTTTTTAGCTTGTATGTTTTGTTTTCTCAATACAGACCACGTGATGTTCTCCGGGAAATTAGCCTGAATTAGAATTAGAATTTCTCAAAGTTTCGCAGCCGTAGCATTAAAACCGCCATAGAACACTGCGGTTGTAACCCTTAAGGTGATGTTACACAGGACGATTCGCAACAACGATTTTTTGCCTAACACAGCATTCCAATGCTGGAACAATGTTGTTTCTATTTGAATCAATGTCGCAAAAATGTTGCAACGCTGTTTTGCGCTAAAAATCTTCGTTGCGAATCGTCCCGTGTAACATCACCAGGGGCGCATCCAGGATTTTTTTTAGGAGGGGGTGCACTCGTCTCTTGCTCTACTTCAACAGCAATAAACCACATAGTTTTTTTTTTGGCAGAATACCAGTTGTATTAGAAAACCGCAGGTCATCTCAGGGGGGGGGGGGGGTGTTTGTAATTTGCCCGTGGACCCTCACCAGGGGGGCCTTGTGGTTTTTTTTTTTGGGGGGTGTCCTTTTTTTTTTGTCTCCCTTCAAACATAAAAAAACCCTTTTTTTTTTTTTTTTGGGAAAATCCCCGTTTTTTAAAAAACCCCGGGGGCCCCCCGGGGGGGGGGGGGGGTACGCACCCCCTGCACTCTCCCCCTAGATCTGCCCCTGATCACCTTAATAAGCAGCCGAAAAATGTTCTTATCCTCGGAGAAAATATGAAGATGTTTTGCATGAAAACTTGAAGGCCAGCCCACACAAACTAGTCAGTTCCAAACAATTCTGTCTGGCATTTAGACAGGCAAGTTTTTTGAGAGGAAAAGAGCACGATTAATTTCCAACCAAGAACGCACTTAATTAAAGTCGTTTCCTTGGAGCTGGAAACCGATCTTAAGAATTTCCTTCTGTAAACATGACGATGGAGCTCGTCGAAAAGTTTGAGAGCATCCCTTAAGCGTACCAAAATCTAGCCTTGCTGAACTTCAGTTGAGTATATAAGAATTTGTCATTTGTCGGCTTGACGCACTTGATACACTTTGCAGGCCCCTAAAATGTACTGCGACCACTGAAACGGAAGTCATTTTAGATTTTGGCATGTACCCTTAGCAATGGACTGTCCACAAGACGTTTCTTTTGCCAGGATAATTAATCCCCCGCGGCTTTTATTTTCATTTTCATTTGCTCTCCAAGAATCCCCAATGAGAAGTTGGAAGATCTGTGAGCAGGTTACCTAAGCCCAAACAGTTGGAAAATTTTACCCCATAAAAAATAACGGGCACCCCCTTAATTTTCTCAAGGACTTATCCCCGACTGGTTTTAGTGAGAAGTAAGGTGTCAGATAGATGGGACCAACCTTGGTTATTTTCTAAACTGCGTACCGAAAATAACTTATTTATGCTCTAAACTCTGAAATAATGAAACACACACAAGCAAATAGACAATAATGAATTTATTGTATAGGAGGAATAGGTCGGCAGTGGTATAAAGTAAGAGCACAACACGTGGTGAACCTATTTAAACACAACCCAACAATAAGCGTGATGAACACGCCTGAATGCAGTACTCATTACGTAACCTCCAATCGCACGCATATTTCCCAACGCACCGAGCATAAAAACATAGAGTTCTTGTGCCGTTTACAATTAATTCAATTCTGCGGCGTTGTTCTCCATCTGGGCGGAAAAAGAAGGTTCGTTAACTAGGGATCAGAAGGTACTGTTTCTCTTATTATAGCAAGTTTACTGAATGAATTTACGCATTTCGATGATCAAAATTAATTGGCTGCGATGAGTGCTTAAGGGAGAGTTTACTTTTATCTAGGGTAGGAATATCTAACTGAAGGAAGCTTAAATCTCATCGTTGAGCTTTGAAAACAATACTTGAAAACAGTACTATTAAACAATCAATAAATTCAACACAATGGTATGTTGGATATTTGCGGACGGAAACCTTGGGTGAGCTCGAATTGGCCCTGAATCGCTTTCAAAGCTGTTTTTATAAAAAATGCGTCCTTCTTTTATTTCAAATCCTAAATTAACTTTTATCATTCAAACTGACAAGTCGTTCAAAACTATTTGACTTGTTGGTCGCTCACACCTCGGATTTTGCGTTCAAGTTTCTCAGTTGCTCAGAAACTCTTACCGCCAAAGCTGGCATTTTTCTCATTTAAAAACCCACAAAAAGAAAGAAGAAGAGTTTCACTTAATTCATCCACAACGCGGATATAATGGGAACTGACAATAATATCATACAGAATTGCGAATAAGTGAAAATTTATTTTGACTTATTTTATTCTTTGCCATAGTTACTTGTCGTCACTTGAAAATGGAAGGTTTTGTTTTTTGCTGGTTTTTTTGGTTAATTAATTTAATTCGACTTTCTCTTAAGATAAAGACTCGATAAGTCAAGGGTTTTTGGTCATTTCAGGGTGAATACTTCTCTATGCAGGTGTCTGTAGAATTTATGTTGAATATCATTTTCATCTCATTAAATTGCAAAATGTTTGAACATTTTCTACAAATTTCATGTTAATAAGTACTCTATATATCTGACTGTATTTTTAATACTTAAGAGCGAATGTCTGTAAAAATCGAGCAAAATCGAAATTTCGCGGCCACAGTCAAAAAATCATTTTCGCTCATATCTTGTCCATAGATAGGCACAAGTAAGTAACTAAACGTGGTGTAGTTTGTTTTTCAAAAGGCCGCTTGGATTTGGAGAAAATCGACAAAATCAATTTTCGTGGTCGGCGACTTGAAAACAACCAAAATTTGAGGCAAAATGTGGCGGTCTCAAAACTTCGCTCGCACGCACATAGGAAGAAAGCGGGGTAAAATATTTCCCAATAAATCAATTTATAAAGGGTTCTTCTTCTGGTCTGGTGATGAA